CAATATTTTGTGTAATATTGCGTTGGAATTGAGCTGTGTTGTTTACCACACCATTCATTTCGTGAGAATAGTGTTACGGTAATCTCCTGCTTTGACAAGGAGATCCTGCCTATTCGTTTACCGCCTATTCAACAACATAACTGCATACTCAAGTATAAGAAATACACAAGAATAATACGTCTCAGGAGCCTGTGTCTAGACAAGACACCATCCGCTCTCCACCCTCAAGTACCCCGAGACATCGAGACACGTTTTTGGGCCAACTCCACTTGCCGGTCGACCTGCTGAACCGCTTGCTTAAGACTGCCGGCGATAGTTACCTGCACATGAGCGCCATCTACACTAGACCTTGCCGCATAGATATAAGCAGTTAACTACTGGCCAGACTTCAGAATACCTTTCATATTCTCACAGTCATAACATCTACCATCGCCTTCCTAGGAACCGTAGATGCATACAGCTTATTGTATATTGTCTTGAGGTTATCTTGAGATGATTTCGGCGCTTTAGTGTCCCCGCGGCCCGGTCCTCGACCAGGCCTCCACCCCCAGGAAGCAGCCCGTAATAGCTGACTAACTCCCAGGTACCTATTTACTGCTAGGTAACAGAGGCATTCAGGGTGAAAGAAACTTTGCCTATTTGTTTCTGCCTCGTGCGGGAATCGAACCCGCGCCACAGAATTACGAGTCCTGCGCACTATCCACCAGGCTACGAGGCTACCACAATCGAGGAGATTGTGTTTTATCACATCTCTTTTGCCATCAACTTAACTATCACATGCTTATATTTCTTTGGCATTTTGTATTGTGGTAATGCCAAGTAAAATATGAGAATTGTTTTATTTGTCGTTAAAGTCATTTTTGTTATATTAAACATTTAAAGTTTTTCATTTTGGATTTTACTCGCAGCTCTCACACCGTAAAGAGGTCAAAAGCAGTGTTACTTTGTTTTACTTTTTTTTATTTAATGTGATTGGCATTTCACCAGCCAGAATAGCCACTGCTCTATTCTTTCACTTTTATGTCACAATAGTTTTTATTATTTTTTTCATTTTTTCATTTCATTTTTTACCTGTTTTTCTTATATTTCAGTGATGGGGACATCAGATCATTTGATGTTCCCAATTTTCTGATGGGAACAGCAGATCATTTGGGAATGCATCGGATGAAGAAGTGGGGAGGACGAGGGGACGGGACAGTTGGGGATGGTGGGGACGAATGACAGGGGACTGGTGAATGGAGGGGAGGACAAGGGGACAGGGGGATGTTGTGGAGGACGAAAGGATGGGGAAGGAGGTAATGGTGGGGAGGACGAGGGGACGGGGGTGTGGGAGATGGTGGGGAGGATGAGGGGACGGTGGAGTGTAGGAATGGTTGGGAGGACGAGGGGATGGGGAGTGGTAGATGTGAGGAAACAAATGGATGGGGGAGAGGAATGGTGGGGAGGACGAGGGGATGGGGGGAGGGGGTAATGATGGGGAGGACGAGGGGATGGGGGGAGGGGGTAATGATGGGGAGGGCTGAGAGACGGAGGGGAAAGGTGACTGACTAAGCATCGCACATGCGTTGCCGAGCCACAGTAATGCGTGGCTGGGAACAGCTAGTATACTAATATATAATTTAAATTCCATTTAACTTACCCAATTTATACCCATTGCACCGTGTTCTGTCTTGTGTTGAATGTTTTGTTCACCTCATCCAAAACTGTTGTAACATATCACCTCACCTAAATGCGGGTATATAAGATGAAAGCTGTTTAAATGATAGCATAGTAGAACTCTGTTTAGTGTTTGCAGGTTATAGTTGTGTGTGTGTAAAGTAAAGTCTTTCAAAATGTAATAAGTTATTACGAAACGCGTTCAAGTGTTGCGTCAGACTAGAAATAAAAATAAATTTTGGAGAATTGATTTTTCAATTGCCATCGACAGAGAAAAGAAACATAAGAAATATTGAGAAAAAATCGTGTTAGAATTATTAATCTTACTTTTTCGGTCATATTTAATAATATATGTCTACAGGAAAGACTGCTACCAAAATATACTAATATATATATATATATATATATATATATATATATATATATATATATATATATATATATATATATATATATATATATATATATATATATATATATATTTCTCACTTTTATAGTGAGAAAGACGAAGGGAGCGGTAAAACAAACAACACAGGACCGACTGCACCTTCATCGGATTTACACTAATCCGGGTTATATTCACCAACGAAAATATGAGCGAATTTCCACTATTATTTGTTATAGCTTGCCGCTGGACCTGAATATTCAAGTGTTGTACAAACACCGAGATTGGTGTTAGGTTCTCGTGTGCTGTCTCTCTAGTTTTGTAGCTTTTCCTACATTTTCACACCTACACACTGGAACGTTTTCAGTGTCCAAATAGTTAGTAAATGGAATGCACTAGGAAGTGATGTGGTGGAGGCTGACTCCATACACAGTTTCAAATGTTGATATGACAGAGCTCGAGAAGCTCAGGAATCTGTACACCAGTAGATTGACGGTTGAGAGGCGGAACTAAAGAGTTAAAGCTCAACTGCCCCGCAAGCACAACTAGGTGAGTACTCGCACACACACACACACACACACAGTATGGAACGAGTATGTTAGTGTGAGAAGAGCAGCTGAGAAAAGGTATGAAAATGATATAGCTTATAAAGCAAAGACCGAACCAAAGCTACTACACAGTCACATCAGGAGGAAGACAACAGTGAAGGAACAGGTGATGAAACTTAGGGTGGGCGAGGACAGGTACACAGAGAATGACAAAGAGGTGTGTGAAGAACTCAACAAAAGGTTCCAGGAGGTCTTTACAATAGAACAGGGAGAAGTCACGGCGCTAGGAGAGGTGGCAGCAAACCAGGTGACCTTGGAAAGGTTCGAAATTAAAAGAGATGAGGTCAAGAAGCACCTATTGGAGCTGGATGTGAGAATAGCTGTTGGGCCGGATGGAACCTCACCATGGTTACTGAAAGAGTGTGCAGGAGCACTTTGCTTGCCACTCTCCATAGTGTATAGTAGGTCACTGGAAACGGGAGATCTACCAGAAGTATGGAAGACTGCTAATGTAGTACCAGTATTTAAAAAGGGTGACAGACAAGAGGCACTGAACTACAGGCCAGTGTCCTTAACTTGTATACAATGCAAGGTGATGGAGAAGATTGTGAGAAAAAACCTAGTAACACATCTGGAGAGAAGAGACTTCGTGACAACCCATCAACATTGGTTCAGGGAGGGTAAGTCTTGCCTTACAGGCTTGAGAGAATTCTATGATCTGGTGACAAAGATTAAGCAAGAAAGAGAAGGATGGGCGGACTGCATTTTTTGGGACTGTCGGAAAGCCTTTGACACAGTACCCCATAAAAGGTTGATGCATAAGCTGGAGAAACAGGCAGGAGTAACTGGTAGGGCGCTCCAGTGGATAAGGGAGTACCTAAGCAATAGGAAGCAGAGAGTTATATGCTACAAGAGGAGTGCATACTGTTACAAGCAGACTGAATCATGCCACAAGAGAAGTGCATACTATTACAAGTAGACTGAATCATGCTACAAGAGGAGTGCATAATACTACAAGTGGACTGAATAATGCTACAAGAGAAGTGCATATTGTTACAAGTAGACTGAATCATGCCACAAGAGGAGTGCATAATACTACAAGTGGACTGAATAATGCTACAAGAGGAGTACTTACCTAGTTGTACTTACCTAGTTGTGTTTGCAGGGGTTGAGCTCTGGCTCTTTGGTCTCGCCTCGCAACTGTCAATCAACTAATGTACAGGTTCCTGAGCCTATTGGGCTCTATCATATCTACACTTGAAGCTGTGTATGGAGTCAGCCTCCACCCCATCACTTCCTAATGCATTCCATTTGTCAACTACTCTGACACTAAAAAAATTCTTTCTAACGTCTCTGTGGCTCATTTGGGCACTCAATTTCCACCTGTGTCCCCTAGTGCGTGTACCCCTTATGTTAAATAGTCTGTCTTTATACCCTATGAATTCCTCTGAGAATCTTGTATGTGGTGATCATGTCCCCTCTAACTCTTTTGTCTCCCAGTGACGAGAGGTTTAATTCCCCGTAGTCTCTCCTCGTAGCTCATACCCCTCAGTTCGGGTACTAGCCTGGTGGCAAACCTTAGAACCTTTTCCAGTTTAGTTTTATGCTTGACTAGATATGGACTCCATGCTGGAGCCGCATTCTCCAGGATTGGTCTGACATATGTGGTATACAAAGTTCCAAAAGATTTCTTACACAAGTGTCTAAAGGCCGTTCTTATGTTAGCCAACCTGGCATATGCTGCTGATGTTATCCTCTTGATATGAGCTTCAGGGGACAGGTCTGGCGTGACATCAACCCCCAGGTCTTTCTCTCTCTCTGACTCTTGAAGTATTTCATCTCCCAAATGATACCTTGTATCTGGTCTCCTGCTCCCTTCACCTATCTTCATTACATTACATTACATTTGCTTGGGTTAAACTCTAACAACCATTTCTTCGACCATTCCTGCAGCAGTCCAGGTCTTCTTGAAGACTTAATCTATCCTCCTGTCCTAATCCTTCTCATAATTTTGGCGTTGTCAGCAAACATTGAGAGGAATGAGTCTATACTCTCTGGGTAGATCATTTACGTATATCAGAAACAAGATAGGTCCAAGCACAGAGCCCTGTGGGACTCCACTGGTGACTTCACGCCATTCTGAGGTCTCACCCCTCACTGTAACTCTCTGCTCCCAATTGCTTAGGTACTCTTTCTCCACTGGAGCGCCCTACCAGTTACTTCTCCCTGGTTCTCCAGCTTATGTGTCAGCCTTTTATGGGGTACTGTGTCAAAGGCTTTCCTACAGTCCAAAAAAATGCCGTCCGCCCATCCTTTAGTGCATACTGTTAAAAGTAGACTGAATCATGCTACAAGAGGAGTGCATACTACAACAAGTAGACTGAATCATGCTACAAGAGGAGTGCATACTGTTACAAGTAGACGTTACAAGTAGACTGAATCATGCTACAAGAGGAGTGCATACTGTTACAAGTAGACTGAATCATGCTACAAGAGGAGTGCATACTGTTACAAGTAGACTGAATCATGCTGCAAGAGGAGTGCATACTGTTACAAGTAGACTGAATCATGCTACAAGAGGAGGGCATACTGTTACAAGTAGACTGAATCATGCTGCAAGAGGAGGGCATACTGTTACAAGTAGACTGAATCATGCTACAAGAGGAGTGCATACTGTTACAAGTAGACTGAATCATGCTACAAGAGGAGTGCATACTGTTACAAGTAGACTGAATCATGCTACAAGAGGAGTGCATACTGTTACAAGTAGACTGAATCATGCTACAAGAGGAGGGCATACTGTTACAAGTAGACTGAATCATGCTGCAAGAGGAGGGCATACTGTTACAAGTAGACTGAATCATGCTACAAGAGGAGTGCATACTGTTACAAGTAGACTGAATCATGCTGCAAGAGGAGGGCATACTGTTACAAGTAGACTGAACCATGCTACAAGAGGAGGGCACACTGTTACAAGTAGACTGAATCATGCTGCAAGATGAATATATAATCCTACAAGTAGACTGCACAATGCTTCAAGAATGTTGTATATTTCTGCAGGGGTACTGTATAACGCTAAGAGAATACAGCTGCATGATACTGCAAGAGAGCTGCATAATGTTAGAAGAGAAATGTATAAAGCTGAAAGTAGACTCAAATATTGAAGGGAAAAAACTCTCAGTTAATGTTTCGGTGTTAAGGTAACTCCTCTGTATCAATAAGTGCATTGTGACTCCTCTACGTTATAATTAATATAATATATAATTAGCGTAATGTTTACTAGAGAGATGGGACAGGGATATGGAATGGTGCCCAACCACTTGGACGGTCGGGGATTGAACGCCGATTTGCATGAAGCAAGACCGTCGGTCTACCGTCCAGCCCAAGTAGTTGTAAGGAGGAAACTCATTGAATAACAGCAAACAAATGCGTGTTTCTGTAATGCAGCTTTATTGATAGGTTTTGCGACTGATGAGAATTACTCAACAACTGACAAATATATTAAATACGTGAAAGTATTTATTACATATTTTATAAATTTACGAATACCAATATTCATTGAGAGATAAGGTCAATAGTAAAGAGAAAGCACTAGGCTGGAGCGGCTGCGTGACAGTTGGAAAGGTTATGAAGACAAACAGCTGTGGATATGACGACACGGAGCTGGGTGACGAGGGGCCAGATTCACGAAGCAGATTTGCAAGTACTTACGAACGTGTACATCTTTCCTCAATCTTTGACGGCTTTGGTTACATTTATTAAACAGTTTTCAAGCATGAAAACTTCCAAATCAACTGTCGTTATTGTTATAAACAGCCTCCTGGTGCTTCCGAGCTCATTATCTCTTGAATAATTGTAAACAAAGCCGCCAAAGATTGAGGAAAGAAGGACATGTTCGTAAATGCTTGCATAACTGCTTCGTTAATCTGCCTCGAGGAGAATGAGCTGGGATATGGGGACAAAGAGCTGCGGATAAGAGTAAGAGCTGAAGAAGGTTTTAGACCAATGGTATTCCGCGTTGTAGTAGAAAAGGCGAGGGCGTACGGAAGGCGGCTTAACCGGCTGCGACAACACACACAATCACATGAGCGTTTCCAAACAGGATCGGGTTGGCAGGGGATTTGCGTCCGATCGCTGCCGAGTACACCAACGACCCCCGGCTTAGCTAGCGACACAAAATAACACATAATATTTACTTTGTATATATACACTCCCCTTCGAGCTGAATGTAACATACAAATGTATTTCTTGGTGGCTATAACAAAGGCATGAACGGGTCCGGGGGTATAATTCTACCAGGCAACATCACAACACGTTTTTGAATTGTCTAACAAGGGAAAGATGTGTATATAAGTAGTAATTTAGTTTATAATATTTTTCCCTGCACTGTTGTCCCCTAGCCACCTATGGAACAGCATTCCGAGATTTGGCCAAAAAAGGTCAGAATAAACCTTGCTTTAGCGCCTTTGGGATGATGGTGTCGAGAATAATGTTCACGGAACTTTAGAGCAAACAGACGTCTGTTTGTCTGTGCGATGAGGGAGTGTGTGTGTGTGTGTGTGTGTGTGTGTGTGTGTGTGTGTGTGTGTGTGTGTGTGTGTGTGTGTGTGTGTGTGTGTGTGTGTGAACAGCGTCTCCATCTATGTATTTTACCTGATTATTTATCGGCATCTATAAGAGAGAGAATGTATTGGTTTCGTCGTGGTTGTGGGCCAGACGCTTGGGGTTAGTGTAACAAATCTTTGCAGGGTGATTTGTGATTTTATGGCGAGTTTCAGAGGTTGCTTGGGCCGACCCCCTCAACCCATCCTGCTAATAGAACGTCGCATTTTGACGTATACACTACCTAAGGCCAAAAATCTTCGTACTAGAAAATGGTAGCGGCTCACGAAATTGCCACACTGTCCCTTTCTCTGTTTTGGGTCCTCTGGTCGGTTAAAGAGCACTTTAGTACGACAGTGTCTTGACGTTGGGTAACCTTATGAAATAACAACCAAAGAATAAGGGATTAATAAACTCAATAATAAATAACTGGTAAAAAACCTACCTCTAACATATACTCGTACACAACATGCATACATACAAATAGTATGATAATTATCAATGGACTGGTCCAACATATAGGACCGATTAGTGACCAGTAACTAAATAGTTAAGTTATAACCACGGAGGAAGGCAAGCTCCACTAATGATACCACCCAATAAGTTTTGAGCGAGAGGGGCCACCCTCACTGCCACAACACAACCCTTGAACGCTCATACCAACACACTCACTCTCCACTCCATATACTGCTGACTTTTGTCGTGTCCTGGATTTCCTGAGGGGGTTGAGGCTTATGGAGCTTAAACCTCCAAAGAGCTCTGGTTTCTACACCAGACCATTGCTTGCATACAGGTGGACAACCTCCCCGAACCACTCTCTGCCGGAACAGACACCGACCTCGGCAGCCACACTCTCCCTACCACCGATCGACCAACAATGAACTATATAGTGCTTGTAGTTTTCTCAATTCACCCTGTATGCCTCTTGGTCTTGGAGAGGGGTTCAGCGCCACAGCTCTTGGCGGTGTGGCTCCAACACTGACCTTGTTGTCCCGTGCATACACCCTACCTGAGTCGCCGTAACTCCCCGCTCTCTCCTTGTTTGGAATGATCTCAAATCCACCTTTTCTGAATTAATATTCCTTATCACCCTGTCTACAGCTGTGATCATTTCTCTCTCTCTCTCTCTCTCTCTCTCTCTCTCTCTCTCTCTCTCTCTCTCTCTCTCTCTCTCTCTCTCTTTTATGCCTTCTGGGAAGCCTCACCAGGACAAGGGCAAACACCTGTGAACTATACACATTTAATAACAAAGAACATGTACATTACACGAGATAAAATAAATAAGAATATTAACTTAAACACTTCAAGCTACTATAACCTGGTTGCACTCCAATACCATCCTGGCTTCACCAGCCATCTATATCAAGTGGTTGCCCATGTCTTGGCTTGCCACTTATTACTCCCCACCAAGTGGGCTAAATCTTCCCATAATACTATTACACAATCAACCCCAATTTGTATATATATATATATATATATATATATATATATATATATATATATATATATATATATATATATATATATATATATATATGTATATATATATACATACATATATATATATATATATATATATATATATATATATATATATATATATATATATATACAGTATATGTAAATCAGCCTATGGCTGTAACACTAGAAACATCTGCACAGAAATTCCACATCACAAAAAAATTATCACTCACCCACCTTCCACTGCGTCTTACACGCCAATGACATTCAAACATTCTCCCAGCACTCTATAAATAACCACCAAGAACTCTGCTCAGCATCTAGAGGCTCACTACCCTGTATATCTCTTAGTCCTCCCAAAATTGTCCACAAGAGTCTTCTGTAGCTCTCCCAGACTGCTGCACCATGAAGTTTCCCTTGAACACCAGTGATGCTCCACCACAGACTCCACAGACATGTGCAACTCCACTTCCTGTTGCTTCACACAACTTGAGGTCTAACTCTTCCACTGAGTTCAGTACTTATTCTACAGCCTTGGAGTTCCATCCACTAACTTCTTCCCTGGCTTCGAAGTTCTCACATCAACTCCTCCACACAAACCTGTAATTCCCATTGAAAAGCCAATAAAAATGTTTCCCTATTAACATATAACTAAAATATTCAACTAACATAAGTATCTTCACTCTACATCTCATTAGATTCCCGCACGCCGCGAGGGGGACTTTCCCGTGGGACGGATCCATGCTCCGCCTCCCGCTACGAGGCAGCCAGCTTCAGTCTCCCATGGGCGCCAGGAGAGAAGGATGCGTTGCCGTCTCCTCCAGCTAGTTGTCTCATCTTTGCTCTCTTATTTAAACTTTCTGCCTTAAAATATGCCTAATGTATTCATGGACACTTGCTACGATCGCTGGGCACACGATCAACTATAGGCAATCACTAGGAACTGGTTAAAAAGGACTTACCTCAAAATTTCTGACTTGAGGGCGCTCATTCGTTTGACACTCAACAGGGCGCACATAGGCTGCCCACCCCAAAACTTTTCAGGACTGCTTCACAACTCTTCCTGCAGTCCACGACTTGAGTCCTCGCGTTCTCAGACTGATTCCACAACCGAAACGTCTGCACAATTATTTCCACTTGAAGGTATATCAATTAGAGGCCTCTAGCTGGGGCTCAATGGAGCGTGACCTTCCCTCACGATTTCTGCTGCTCAAGTGGCCAGTGAGCCTCACACCTTCTCAACAAACTCTCGACATCTCATGTCAAGTCATTCATTTACTTATTTATTCTCTGCCACGATTTTAAACTATTCATCAATATTAGCCAAGTCCTTAATATATATACCCATGTCTATCTTTCCTTTGACCGCTTAGTTGGGTCAGGTTTGCTAAATAACTTTCACAGGGGGTAAACTCGTTTTCCAGCTACCTGGGATCATAACACTTTATCGGAATACACATTGAAACTGAACGCGTTTCGTAATAACTTATTGCATTTTCAAAGACTTTAGTTTACACACACACAACTATAACCTGCAAACACTAAACAGAGTTCTACTCTGCTATGATTTAAACAGCTTTCATCTTATATACTCGCATTTTGGGTGAGGTGATATGTTACAACAGTTTTGGATGAGGTGAACAAAACTTTCAACACAAGACAGAACACGAAACAATGGGTATAAATTGGATAAATTAAAGGGAAGAATAGAAGTAACTGCAAAGGGCCTATTGGCCCATATTTCTTGATGCTTCTATATTGGTGCTGAGTTTTGAAGTGGGTAGAATATAGTTGTGCATTAATTGGCTGTTGATTGCTGGTGTTGACTTCTTGATGTGTAGTGCCTCGCAGATATCAAGCCGCCTGCTATCGCTGTATCTATCGATGATTTCTGTGTTGTTTGTTAATATTTCTCTGGTGATTGTTT